ATAAAACCAGTTATCGTTTATGCTGTTGTTAAAACACACGTTTAAATGCTAAATAATAGAAAATAATGAACTATACAGAATAAAACCTTTTTAAAAATATTCTACATTTTTACTGAGCGAACCTCAATTACATCTTCGAGGGTGGGGCGGTGCTTAAAATGGCCTAATCCTTAATTGAACAAGTTTGGTACGCTAAAACATTCGGTTACGATGACTTGTGACAGTTCCGTTAACGAAATTTCACGCACAAGGCTTGGGTCAGCTTTTAAAGCGTTTTCCAACGATTCCACGTCTTGGTATCCTCTCCGCAGACCACCATTTCTCAACCTTTTTTAAGCCTTGTGCCAACCTTGAAATAGTTTTCATGTCTCAGGGAACACCTGCATCAAAATGATTAATATCTCTTTTATATTTTTATCGTAATTCACGTCGTAAACACAATATATGGTCACTCGTCCTGTACACGAGTGAATCCCTCAATCATAGACGAATTCTTTACAAACAGGTTCTGTCCACAAACACGTGAAGGCTTGTTTCGCACTGACGCTATATAGACATCGCTAAATAAATTCCCTATGATTATTATAATGAAAAAAAAATATAACATTTGGACAGTTTTTGTATAATTTACTGAAAAGAAAGAAATTATATGATCATATGAGAAATTATATAAAACTTAAACAAAGAACCTTGTCTGTCATATTTAATGAAGCTTGCATGAAAAGAAGGGTTGGTGCCTAAATACAATATATATATATATATATATATATATATATATATATATATATATATATATATATATATATATATATATATATATATATATATAATGTGTGTGTTTAGAAAATATGAAAAACTGGAAAGTTTTTCTTTTTGTGACGCGTTTCATCCGTTAGGATTTCATCAGACTCGATGTTGCTAGCTCTACGCATGCGCACGAAACTAAAAGACGCAGGCAGTTTCAAAATTTTTAAAAGAATATTTTTACCTCATTCTAGCCGAACTCATCTGTATACACGCATAGGCAATTATGTCTCTTTCGATTCATGACTGACTAGACAGAAGATTATTCCCTAATTAGTTTGCCTTTTCCTTCTGCGGTAGACTGGTTTCAAACCAAGGCTATGAGGTCCAATCAGTTCCTCTCTTTAATCCATAGCTGAGGAGAGAAGAGTTAATGTCATTCAAGTGTCATACGGTATACACGCTTAGGTGATCATATCTCTTGATACATGACTGACAAAGCAGAAGATTTTTCCCTCAGTAGGATGACGTTTCCTTCTACGGTAGACTGATTTCAAACCAAGGCTATATTTTCCAGTCAGTCCCTCTCTTTAATCCATAGCTGAGGAGAGAAGTGTTAATGTTCCGCAATAGATTGCCATTTTTTTCAGCGGTTGACTGTTTGCCAAGCAATGACCTAGTTTGTCCTGCAAATCATTCCATACCCAGGGTGGGGAAGTGATGGATTCATAACTTTCCAAAGGGTATTTGCGCGTAGATTAATGTAACGAACCAGACTTGAATTCGAACTCTGCCCGACCGATTTCTTATTCCGAGCCGTTAACCCTTCGGCCATCCCTGCATTCAGAGGAAATAAACAATCAATAATATGGTTAATAACAAACACCACATGACATTTCGATTTATTTCAATGAAGACCGAGCAAAAAAATATAATATTTCATCAAGAGTAAGAGAGAGAGAGAGAGAGAGAGAGAGAGAGAGAGAGAGAGAGAGAGTGGGGGGGAGATAGCGAGAGGGAGAGAGAAAGAAAGAGAGAGTGAGAGAGTGAAAGGGGAGACAGAGATACCGAGAGAAGGAGAGAGAGAAAGAGAGATTTAGTCTGAGAACGAGAAAAAAAAATTAAAGACATAAATCTTCGGTTTTATGAATTAGGCATATTTCTTTTTCTTTTATCAAAATTTCCACCAATCATTCATATTACGAGTGTCACAAATACTTTTACGATAAAATTAAATGTTACATGTTGGAGTTAAGCCAGTGGATTTTACGATATTATTAAACATTTAGGGGTTCACTCAAAATCAGTATTACGCCAACAATTAAATATTAGTCAGGTTTATACTACAGTAAAAATATAAACATTGGTCGGGTTTATATGTGAGTCAAAATGTATCCATTGATCCGATTGATATTTCACTAGCAGCATGGCCCGGCGTTCTCCTTCTTCTACACTGGTTGCCACGCAAGGCTAGAAGATTTTAAGCTGCACCCATATATTTAACCCATTTCCGGTTCCTTCTAAAGTCTACATGAACTCTAAACTACTAACGTCTTTACCGAAACTCTGAATTTTTATTTAGTAATTATACATTTTCATATCAGTAGAAGTAGATACGTTCACTTACCACCCAGTTCACCCTCTTTTGTACAAGAGTTAAGGTTTCTCCCTTGCTTCCTGTTTAAGATTGGGTTTCCGGTTCCTTCTAAAATCTACTTCAGCTCTGTATTCCTAACGTCTCCGCCTAAACACTGAAATGTTATTTATTTATTTTCTAAATAGATAGGATTTTTGAACAGGAGTAGAAGGTTTATCCCTTGTTTCCTTTTTAGTACTGGCTTTCAGGTTCCTTCTAAAGTCTACTTCAACTCTATACTTATAACGTCTTCGCCTAAACTAAATTAAACTAATTATTTACTTTATTTACTAATTAGTATTTTTCCCTCTACCAGTAGAGGGAAAAATTTATTTAATACTAGCAGCATGGCCCGGCGTTGTCCGTGCTTGATTCAAAAATCGTACAACTCATACAGCAATCGCTATCACTTGACTTAAAATATTTTTGCCCTTCCTTGTCTTTAAAGGAGTGCCCTTTGCCGTGCTGATATTGCTATATGCCTTACTTCTTACCTATCTCACACTGCGAATTTTTTTCTAAGCTCTATACTAAACATTAAATCTGTTACGAAACAAGAACTAAACACAAAACGATCAGCGTTAAAAAAGGACTCGTAAATGGAAAAACCGAATGAAAAAAGAATGTTAACAACAAATACTTTTTCACACCCAACCCAGTTCTGCGGAATCAGAATCAACGTTGAGTTTAAGCAAGCGAATGAGCCAATTGGAGTAAAGTGCCATGCAAATTTAAATTTTTCCCACTTGAGACGAATGCAACTATTGATTTTTTTAATGCTTGCATGCTAGTTAACATTCGTGTCAGTCAGCTGTTGACTCTCATGCTGGCCAATATAATCTTCCTGCCTATTCGTGGCAGCCAGCTATAGGCAAACTACATGAAAACTGCCGTAGAAGCATGAAAAAATCGATTATTTCCACTATCAATGGGAGTTGGGAAAGTCGGTCTTGGCCTTACCGCTAACTTGGAGCATGTGCATGTAAATTTGGGTGCAAATCCGTCGAAAATTGCGGCCGTGCATTCGTTACGCACACACACACACACACACACACACACACACCCTGCCTTTTATAGATAGAGATTCAATTTGTAACTATTGATCCGGTTTATACTTGAGGCAAATGATAAACATTGGCCGGGTTTATATTTGAGACGAATGCTAAACATTCGTCGGGTTTATACTTGAGTTGAAATATAAAAAATGGTCCGGTTTATACTTGAGTCAAATGATAGACATTAGTTGGGTTTATCAGTCAGTCAGTTATGTGCCATACGTGATACACGTTTAGGTGACCATGTGTCTTTCGATACATGACTGACGAGGCAGATTTTTTCCTGCAGTAGATAAGTTGCTATCCAAGGCTGTATTTACCCATAGCTACCGGGAGAAGAAGAGGATTCATACCTTTACCAAGCACGTAAGTGAATATAATGGATTCAACTGGAATTCGAACTCGGCTCTCCGATTCCTCAATCTGAGCCGCTATCCATTACACCCTCGTGGGTTTATACTTGAATTAAAATATACAATTTGGCGGGTTTATATTTGAGACAGAATGCAAAAAACAAAAATTGTTCAATTTATACTTGAGTTAACATTTTTAGAGTTTATACGTTAGTCAAAATGTAAAAAATGGATCTTGTTTATACTTAAGCCGCAATGTGAAAACAATGTTCCAAATTATACTTGAGAGAAAAAAAGTTTGGCTTTATATTTGAGATAAAATCTAAACATTGTTCCAGTTTATACTTGAGACAATATGTAAATGTTGGTAATTTTTATACTTGAGTCAAAATGTAAAAATTGTCTAGTTTATAATTAACCCTTTGAGCTCTGCATTCCTGAACAATTTTAACCGTTCTGCGTGAGTTCCTCAGTCAAACTTCGCAAATAATTGGTATGCAATGTTTCACGGTAGATATAAAAATAGGTACAAAAAATATAACTTCCTGGTTGCTTCCCCGGCGGTCCAGATTGAGACACTGCACTCTTCATAGTAAAAACGATCTTTTTTTAAAATCTAAAACATGCAAAAAACACAATGAAAAGGCTCGGACATGTTGCTATAACGTTCGATGACATCAGAATATTACGGCTTTTTTTATTGGCTCTTCAAAATAACACAACCAATAGCAAAATACGACGCAAATGTTTACCCACCGTTCAATCAGTGACTGGGCATTAAGTTATTTTTTCTACTACTGCTCAACCGGTGGCTGGGCATTACGTCATTTTCTTTACCACCGTTCAACCGGTTACTAGGCATTACGTCATTTTCTCTACTACCGGTAAATCGGTGGTCAGGATCAAAGAGTTAAATTAAAAGGTAATCGTGGTATCGGTTTTTACATGAGTTAAAATGTAAACATTGGTTCAGTTTTTACTTGAGTTAAATTGTAAATATTGTTAGGCTGTATACTTGAGACAGCATTAAAAAAATTCTGGTTCAGACAATACATAAAGATTGGTCGGTATTAAAATTTTGTCGAAGGGTAATAACAGAACGTGTTCATATTGTGTATAATGATAAAATTATGTCGGGTTTATACTTGAGGCAACAGGTAAACTTTCTCGGTTTATACTTGAGTCAAAAGGTAAACATTTAATTAAAAAAAA